ACAGCTTTGCAGGAGACTCAGAACAAGGAAGTTAGCTGCTCCCCACCACAGCCTGTCTAATCCTGAGTCTTAGCACACAAACACCAGTGGCTCTGCTGGGCTGTGGAAAACAGTGGGCTCATTCCCAAGCAAGTCCTGGGTAATAAATGATCCCTAAAATCCTCTAGAAGACCCAGATTCCTCTTTCCTGAGACTGATTTGCATGTAGCTCTCTCTAAACTCTGGTGTGGAAAAAAGAGGTGAAGGTGGGAGTGTTCTCTCTATCTATCTATCTATCTATCTATCTATCTACCTATCTATCTATCCATCTATCTCTATCTCTCTGGTTTTGGGTCCCCTCCCCTCCGGTGGTGCTCAGAGGTTAGTGCTGGCTCTATGCTCAGGAATTACTTCTGATGGTGCTCAGGGGACAATAAGGGATGCCAGGAATTAAATCTGGGTCAGCCATGTTCAAGACAAACACCCTACAAACTGTACTATTGCTCCATCTTCAATGAGAGTGTTTCTCTTCACTAAATAGAGGCTTGTTTGGATGGACAACTTGTCCTTAACAAGTCCCAAAATGACCACAGCCAAAGGTATGTTGAATTGCTCCCAGCAGAGACTTACAGATGCCTGCTGAAGGGCACGTACTGGTTCCATGTGAACAAAGTAAATTTTCTCAGAGACTTTTAAATTTAATTAAAGAGTATTAGTTCTACTGAACTCTTTCATGGACATTTATTTAATAAGCAAGCAGAAAGCTAGACTATATGTAAATTAATTCTAAACAAGGTCTCTCTATGTTTTTCCAAGCAAAAATTCTGCTGAGTATTTATAAATAGCAACATTGACCTCATACATGCAGGGCCCATAACATCAGTGAAAAATTAGAAACAAATAGAGATTGAGTGGTATGTCTTAATATACTGAGGAACAATACAAGATCAGGTAGGTGCTCAAAGGGTGGAGTACATCCCTGGCTTGTATGAGGCACCACTTTGGTCCCAGGTGCTCCCCACCTCCCACCCCACTAAATATGACATTGCTGGCTCAGGTAGCAAACTGTCAGGTCAAGTGACACCCACCAACCCCCATGCATGAGCACTGTTAGGGATGATCCTGATTAAAAAAATGCATAGGAGGAAAAGAAGATATTAATGTGAACATTCCTAAAATAGAGGTATTAGGGGAATTTTTTTCATGTTTCTGATTTCCACAATTTTCCTTGTCCATGATTCTTCATCTTTAAGAGGACTCCAGATCATCTGAGAACCAATAAAAAATATTAACTTCACTCCCGACAAATGTGCACATTTTATATATTCTATTGGGAAATTCCAGGCTTTCAGAAGTACGTGATAGACAGTGGATAAAGAATTCTCCTCAACACTGCTAGCAGAAATGGTATGTGTCACAATTTCTCTGGGGACTATTTGGCAATATCTATCACAATGCATACCGTTTGACTGTGTCTGCATCCCTGAATTATACTATAGGTCTACTCACATATGTGAAAATTGATCTATGTGCACAGTTGCTTTTGAAATCATGTATAATAGAAAGACTGAAAATAACATAAAATGCCCATCTCTTGGAAACAGAGCTAAAAACTAGGCAGATAGTTAAAAGTCAAATGTATTTGTGAGTAACATTCAACAGTATCTAAAATACATTATTAATAAAAGTGCATAACCATGTGTGCAATATATTGCCATTTATATATTTTAAATCATTTTGGAGAGTGGTGCTGGACCACACTGAGTGGTGCTCAGGGTTTACTCCTGGATCTCTGGTGGTGCTCAGGGACAGGGAGTACCAGTGATTGAACAGGAATCAGTCACATGCGAAGTAAGTGCCTTAATCCCATACTATCTTTCGATCCCTATTTAAAAACATAAAATATTTATAAAGACATTTCTGCTTTCAGAACAAATTATTTCTGAAAGAAGATAGATGACTAATAAAACATATGCTGCCCCTTAGCTAGAAGGTAAGAGTTTTCCAGGAAGGTGAATTTTCATATTCTTTTGCACCTTTAAATTTGTATTGTGCAAATGCATTATGATTCAAAGCCAAATAAATAAAATTAAATATTGAGTTATAAGCTTTATTAAATCAGTGTACTGGAGCAATGCCATTATTGAGAATTATGTTTCTGAGGAAACTGTTTGGAAAAGTTCATATTTTAGATGAACATTAGCAGAACTAAGATTGAATTATGAGTGATTTTACTTTTCTTCTGCTGCTTATATGTTTGTCTGTAGTCTATAATGTGGACAATAAAATCAATGAGCCTAAAAGAAAATTATCCCTTGTTTAGAAATTTTTCAAATCATAATTCCTTGCTCCCATCTTCCCCAAATGTCAGTCCATATTTTTAGGGCCTATTGGTCTCAGCTTCCTCTATCAGCAATGCCCAAACAAAGCCTTCTGTCACTTTATTCTTTCTCTTTTTTATAAATTTATTTATTGAATCACCATGAGAGCACTTACAAAGCTTTCGGGTTTAAGTCTCAGTCATACAATGATGAAACATCCATTTCTTCACCAGTGCCCATTTTTCACCACCAAAAACCCCAGTATACCTCCCATCCCACACCCTCCAACTACCTGTGGGGCAGTTGATTTCCACATTTCTCCCTCTCTACTTTGATTACATTCAATATTTCGACACCAGACCCACAATTATTATTTGGGATTTTACCCCAACACTCAGATCTGCCAAAAAGGCAACCGTAGACAATTTGTTTTCTATTGCTAGTTATGAATAATATATGATGTCACATGGCTGCAGTAGTGGCCACACAATTTTGGAATTTCAAAATTTTAACAATTAAATCTGGAGGGATTTCTATCAAAACCTGCTGGGTTCCAAGATTTGTTCCTGAGTCTCTAGGATCATGACTGCTAAGCAGCTTGATCAGGAGCCAGAGAGGCCGTTTGTGGGCAGCAACTCCGGGTCTCATCGGGTTGGGGAGGAAAGGGCCAGCTCCACCCCCCTCCCATGAGGCCTAAAATGTCTCGTCACTGTGGGCCCAATCCTGACTGTTCAATGGCCTCTGGAGGATGGCGGGTGGCCACGGAGCTGCCAAGAGGGAGCAGGCGGAGGGACAGCACCCTTTCCCCCCTGGGGTGGCCTGACGGCGGTAACCCACTGCGGGAATCAGACACATTTTTGCCAAAAGCTGCCGGGTTGTGAGATTTGTTTCTGAGTCTCTGGGATCATGGTCGTTAAGTAGTTTGATCAGGAACCAGAGAGGCCTTGCCTCCAATAATATAGCTGAGCTGGAGGTGGTTTGTGCGTGTGTCTCCCACACAGCTAACTTTTGGCCGTTTACTTTATTGGTAAACTTGGCCCCAAGTTGTTGGGGTCTGGCCAAAGGCACAGCAGCAATTTTGGAGTATCTAGAAATCTGAAAGCACCATCAGGCTGTGATGCACTCGCCTCACAGATACAGATTGACGTGCTGGCGGCACCATACCCCAGCTTCCTTCACTTTAAATCCATCAACAACAATCATTTTAAATCATGCACACACACAGCCCCTAAAAAATATTTTAAAATAAAAATATGAAAATTTAAGAGAACAAAGGAATAAAGAAAAAAAATAAACTACAAACCAATCATCCTGGGTCCTCCTTTCTCACTTGCTCTCACACTCTCAATTTGCCCAAGTCCTGCTCCTTCTCTGGCCCCATCCCTGAAGACTCCTTTTGGCTTCATTTCTGCTACTCCCATCTAAGACAGACCCCCAGCTCTCATTAGAATCCACTTTCCCTGTCTGTTTCTCTGAGGATCCCAGGTGGTAGATCCACCTCTCCATGTTGCTGTCAGGGACATTTATAGACTCTCCAAGCTCACTTTCAGATAGCGCTGACTACTTTCACACCTCTGTTCCTTCTGCATATGACACCAGTTGGGATATTCCTTCTCCTCTTTCCAGAAACAGCTCAAACATCTCTCTGTGATACCTGGCCTGGTCTTCTCTCCAAGTAGCACCGTCCATCCCTCTGGGCTCCTACACATCTCATAGCACAGGCAACCTTGATTCCTGGACCAGATTTAAGGGGTAAGTTAGCACATTCTCCAACACCTAAGCTTCTGTAGACAGGGTGAGCTATTACACATCTCTTTAACCTCAAACCTTGGTCCTAGACATGGATCATAAGCAAGTAGCAACAAGTTCCTGAATAGAAAGTATAATGAGATTGAAGGGAAAATCATTCAAGACAAATTTTTGAACTTTTCTGCTATAAATTTACACTGCAGTAAATTCAATTTCTTTATTCTTTAAGTTCTGGACCATTGCCTTAGGATTTCTTAAAAAAATTTGCCTGTCAGTTTTTTCACATGCAAACACCTCACTATAAAAGCCACAGTTGATACTAATTCATTTCAGCAGCTCATTTACACTGTACTGGCCTGACAATCTCCAAGTGTTTATTGAGTGCTCAGTTCACTAGCTTTTCACCCACAAAACTCAAAACAAGATGAACAGACTTCACTAAACTTCAAATATTTTCTAAGCAGCAGGCTAAAGAAAACAAAGAACATTTCCCTAGGAAGACCTGCTTTCATTTAAATGACTGTAAGTTTAAATTAGGGGTAAAACCAAGGACTTTGTGTAGTGACATGTTTAGATTTAGAGTCCCCAAATGGAGTGCTAAAAATCAAAAAGAATCTCTTTACTCTCAGTTTATGATCAAATGTAAACCAGCTCTCAGCAGGAGGCTCAGTGAGGCTTTCAGGGTCTCCCTTCATGGGTGGGTCTCCAGGCCCGTGGGGGAACAGGGAACGGGTGGGGATCACAGGAACCAGACACTACTCTGTTACATGAAATCTTCCCAGGGTGCTAGAAGACAAAGGAATTGCTCTGCCTGTTTTCTCAGCTAGTTCTGGATCCCCAAGCATAAGGAAGTACAGCCTTCTGGTGACAACAGCCTTATGGTCCTCCAAAATCAGCATTTACTTTCAAGATATAAAGGTGCATTCCTCTTTGTCCCCAGCTTTGAGTTACCTGATCAGGCCTCCCATCTGTCATAAGATAGATTACTTGTGTTCCTTGGTCAGCGAATGCAATTTTCAGGGCGTCCAGTGTGTTTGTGGAACTTCCAATCTATGGCAACAAGAGCAAGGGCGAACTGAGCACATACATAGATCTCAAAAAAGAATGGGAGTTTCTTTTTTAAGAAATACAATGTAAACAGCACAGATACTGAAATTATCATTGAAACCCCAGTAATTCCAGTCAGCAGAGTTCCCATGTGCAATGAAAGCCTCTGTTCTAGGCTAGCAGAAGTGGGCTGTGGATTTGCAGCCCTGAGGATAGAACCCCTCATGTCTTTTATGTTTGTGTGTTTCTGGTGTGACATGAATTCAGTCACTGTTGACTCAGCTGTCAGCGTTGCTCCATGAATCTGCCTACAAAGCAACTTATTTCATAAAACCACTGATCCATACAACCAATATGCATTGAACTGAAGTGTGGCATGATTAACAAAATATAGTCAAGAAAATGTCCAATCTGAAAATCGTGCCATATCTGCCCAGGGATCTAGAACACTATCAGAAGGTCCCTCCCACATTTATCATGAGAAAGGGCCAAATTGCTGATATTGCTGGTATCTGAATTTCATTATTCCCAATGGAGAGCCAAGGTCATAGGACAAGTGATCTCTAAATCCAAGAGAGAAATCTGTAGTCCAGTGAGGTGTGTGCATAGGCTGCCTTGGCCAAGATGCAGCCAGATATAATGCACAGGGATCAACTGGGCTGGAGAATGGGTGGTAATTGGCAAATGTTTACTGATGAGAGAATTAAGGTTGAGAGGCTGTAAATATGGGGAACTCTGTGCTATTTCCTTGAAGGCATTTGTCATAAGTCCAATATCTGCTTACAGAAGAAAATGAGGGCACAGAACTGGGAATGAGGAACAGTGATATATGATTCCCCTAGGACCCCCTCCTCTATTTTCCCTACAGAACAAAAGCCCTGATTTAGGGGGGACAGGGTGATGGGGGTCAAAAGGGCAACAGGTCTTAGAACAGTGGTGAAGGTCCAGGACAGATCTGAGCAGAAAAAGGAGCCCCAAACCCTCCCCCATGTGGTGAAAGAAAAGTTAGGATAGGACACCGTCCACCTTAGAAGCATGGAGAAGGTACAGACTTGTGCTCTGCCTGTTTTAAGTTTCATCAAAGATACCATACCCAACCCACCTGCTTCTCCAAACACTGACTAATGAGAAACTTGCAAGATACAATCTCTGAGGTGTTGTGTAAAGGGAAAACCAAAGGTGAGGACGGGTTGGAGACTGGAGAGATAGTCACTTGATCACTTGATCACTTGACATCCTGTTACTCATCAATTTGCTCGAGCGGGAGCCAGTAACGTCTCCATTTGTCCCTGTCGCATGCTAGTGTAGCCCAATGGCATCTGCCCATTCTAGGAACAGCAAGAGCCTCAAACTGACTATTCAGGATCTTGACGAGGAAGTCTGACCATCTCATAGGTGGGTTGCCACGTGGTCTTTTGACATCCCGTGGAATCCAGTCAGTCATCTCCAAATCTCATTACATGTCCAGCCCATCTGATTTTCGATGCCTTGGCAAATGAGACAGCGTCCCTGATTCTTGACCATTGATGGAGGTTGGAAATCCGGATCATTTCTCTCATTTGAGTGAAGCGTGATACTCCAAGCTTAGCTCTTTCGATTCCTCTTTGGGAGACCCGAATAGCATTCTCATCCTGTTTTCGTGGGGCCCAGGTCTCTGAGGAGTATGTTAATGCAGGAAGAACAGTGGAATCTAAGAGATGTGCCCGGAGCCAGAGGTTCTTCGTTCTCATAGCTATTTCTTCGACGCTCTTGAAGTAGTTCCAAGCCACTCTCTTCTTCCTGTGCAACTCATGTGCCAGATCATTCATCATGTTGACTTCTCGACCTAGGTACACATAACTGTTGCATTCGGACATGTTCATTCCATTAAGAGTGAATGGAGAGTTAGGAACGAGACCATTTCTCATAAACACTGTCTTTGTGAGATTCAGCTGTAGTCCAACCTTTCCACACTCATGGTCGAAGTCAGCCAACATTTGTGCCGCTTGGCTAATGTTTGATGTTATTAGAACGATAACATCAGAAAGCGGAGGTGGTGTAGTTGCTGACCATCTATCTTCACTCCCATTCTTTCCCATTCCAGTCGTTGCATGACATTCTCGAGGGTGGCACTGAAGAGTTTCAGTGAAATGGTATCACCCTGCCAAACCCCTCTCTTGATATGGATGATCACTTCTTTGTAGAATGGTGAGATCCTGGTAGTGAATCCATAATACAACTCATGGAGGATCCTGATGTATTGAGTTTGAATACCCTGTTTGGCTAGGGCTTTGATGACCACTTCTGTCTCAACAGAATCAAAGGCCTTTTTTAAATCAATGAACATTAGACAGAGCAGCAACTTGAACTCCCGACAAGCCTCAATGAGCTTGGTTATTGTGTGGATATGGTCGATCGTGCTGAATCCTTTGCAGAACCCAGCTTGCTCACATGGTTGTCCTTCATCTAGAACCCGGCTTGCTCACATGGTTGTCCTTCATCTAGTGTTCTGCCTATTCAGGATGACTCGAGTGAACAACGTGTAGATGACAGACAACAGGCAGATTAGGCGATAGTTGCCAATGTTGTAAATGTCTCCCTTCTTGTACAGTAGAATGGTCCTGCTGGTTTTCCACTGGGACAGAACCTTGCATTTAGACAGGTAGCGTGAGAAGAGCCGAGCCAGTGTATTGATGAATACTGACAGCAGGTTCTTCAGGTGTTTGGGTCTGACCTTGTCTGGGCTGGGTACTCTTTGCTTTTTTTTTAATTTTTATTTGTGAAACACCATGAGGTACAGTTGTGAACTTACAATTTTTGTGCTTGGGTTTTAGTTATACAGTGATCGAGTACCCATCCCTCCACCAGTGCCCATTCTCCACCACCACTAATCCCAGTATCCCTTCCCCCCCCCATATAGGCTTTAGGAACAAAATGGTGTGTCGGATTTCAGAAGGGAAAACGCTGGGAATGACATATCCATCCTGCAGAATTTGGTATGTGGGCAGGTGGACGTGGCTATCAAAGAGATCCGAGTAGTAGTCATGGATAATCTTCGCCATTGCCTTCTGGAAGATGTGATAGACCCATCAGGATGTCGGAGGGCAGTCATCTTGGTCTTGTACTTGGTGAAGGACAGGCAGGTGTCACAAATGCTTTTCCCGGCTTCTGCTGCATCTGCCAGCACTGCTGCTCTTCTCTCTTTGAGGTCTTCCTTTATCACTTCTCTGCACTGCTTTGCGAGCTCAGACTTTCGCTTGTGGTTGCCTGAGGCTTGCCTCAAGCCACGTTGGCGAATAAGCTCAAAAGTTTTCAAAGACAGGCATTTTTATGTGGCTCTCTCTTTCTCTTTCTCTCTCTCGGTGTTCCTCTCACAATCATGGAGGTGCTGAGTCGATCTTATTCCTTGTCAATGTTGTCAATGACGGCATCTTCCCATGTTGCCTCAATAGTACCAAAGAGATCCCAGTTGGTGGTCGTTCTGGGAGTTCTCTTCTTAAACTTTGCAGCCCTTTCTCCCTACTCTGTGAAATAGAATTTTGCAAGAAGGAGATGGTGGTCCGATCCCACTTGGAATTTTGGGACAACAGTGACATCGGTCAGGCAAAACTGTAGATTGAATATGTGGTCAATTTCATTGTAAAACCATCCACTGACAGACTCCCATGTCCAAAGTTTAGATTTGGCCTTCTGGAACTGTGAGTTACCATGGATGGTCTTGGTCGACATGATGAACTCAGACAGTCTTTCAACCTGTTCATTCCATTCTAGGTCATGGGTCCTAATGTGGAGTTCTTCGACTGATCTTCTCGGTCCTTGGCATTAAAATCACCAACAATGATCTTGTAGAAGGTGTGGTCTTCTTTATAGAACTTCTCCAGCTCCATGTAGAACTTCTCAATTTCTCCTTCATCATAATTGGATGTTGGTGCATAGACAACGAAGATAGAAACTGCCAGCAGTGAGCCACATCTATTCAAGTGTAATCGTACGATTCAGGTTGTTAGGCATTTGAATGAATCAATGCTCATGAATGAACCAATGCTCATGTATTACAAATGATGTTCACCTTTCAATGGTAGCAACAAAAGACATACTACAAAGAAAGAATAAACAGCATACATGAGAAAGAATTGTACACATTGGAAGCAAACTGAGATATAATACAGATGCTGAAACTAGTGGGCAGAAAATTTAGAAAATATAAAAATCACTGAATGCATTAACATCTCTAATAGCAAACTTGAACAATATTCAAGAGCAGGTGGGTTCTTTCAGCAGAGAGATGGAAACCAAAAGAAACAACGAAAACAATTAAATCAACAACAGCAAAATGTTGGGCATGTGGCTCAATGGCAAAGCCCTTGCCTTTCTTACAGGAAGCCCTGGGTTCAATTGTCTGACCACTGCCAGGAGAAACTCCCAAGCACTGAGCTGTGAGTACCCCTGAGCTTAGCTGGTTGTCTTTTAATGAGTTTATACATAGATTAAAAACAGTCAAGACAGGACAGAGTACAAGGGGTAAGATGTCTGCCTTGCATGTAGCCAACCCAAGTTCAAACCTTAGCACTCCATATGGGTCCCTAAATCTGCCAACAGGTATGCCTAAGCACAAAGCCAGGAATAAGGCAATGCCAGGTGTAGCCCCTAAACAAACAAACAAACAAACAAACAAAAAACAGCCAAGGAAGGAATTAATGAATACAGGGATAGTTCAACTTCTCCCTGACCAAGTAGCACATTCCCACCCGGCAGTAATGAGAGGTCAACAAAGGGAAGAGACTGGGTGTTTGAACATTGTGTCATTATATGCCTGAAACAAAAAAGAAAACAGGGGGAAACCTGAAAAGGGACCCCCCGTAGACTCTCTGGGTCCAAGTGTGGGGCTAAAAGGGCACCCGACTTATCCCAGTGGTTCTGGAAGGTCATGTGGATGCTGGGGGGTGAATTCAGGGTTTTGGTTATGACAAGATCTCTATCACCCTCTCCCCAAATCCTGTTCTAAAGATACCAAAATTCTATGGGGAACCCAGCTCATCTCAATGACAGCATAGCTCCTGCTTGGGTGATACTTAAGTCCAATAATGTCCACTTTATTGGTGGCTTCCTGTCAAGTCTCAGACTCTTAACACAAGCAAAAAATTATTCTAAAGTTGCTTGTGATCTATATTTAAACTTTTAAGAAGTGCCCTTTGTCTCCACTGTTTTGTATCTAAGATATCTGCAATAGATCTGTAGCTCTAGAAAAAAAACTTTTAAAATTAAGATCAGTTCAAGACAAAAAAAAATTCAGGGCAGAAAAAAAACCCTTCCCAGAAGTCTGCTTAAAGAAAAAATCATATCTTTAAAGTTCTTCAAAAACAATAAAGGTCCCAAGAAATGATTCCCCTGCCTCTCACATCCTGTTGCTCTCCCACCTCCCACTTTTAGTCTCAACATTTTACTTTGGACTTTGCATCTCACTTTTGAACAAAGTCCACTGTTAAAAATAGCTGCAATCTGTCATTGGAAAAAAATAATAAGGTTCAGAAAGAGCAAGCCTGAATGTTTGAATACAAAATATTACATTTCAAAATTTGTTTTCATAAAGGCTAAGACCTTCGCCAAGGATAGGTCTGGAAATGAGATCTGCAGTTCCGCTGGGAATCTAAGTCCGAGGCTAGATATTGAGGATGAGATAGAATTACTGGGAACTGACATGCCTGGGGCTCATAGCACTTTCTCAAGTGTTTCTACCCTGTGAATAAGCTCCTTGATGATAAAGCCAGGCTGCTTCTCCCAGCCAGCGCTTGTACCATACCTTAATGTCTCTAATCCAGCACTGAGCCTGTTTCAAATTATCTTCATCGATTTCAACAAGTTTTTCCCGCCAAGCAACTGCTTGAGCATCAAACTGCACAAAATTGAATTTCCTTTTGTATTTCAGCTGTTCCTGTAGGAGATATTATAAAGTCTAAAACCACTGAAATGTGAGTAAAGGCTATGACAGGTCACAGTTTGATCAACTGTAATTACTAGGGTATGTATTTTTGGATCTAGAAGTTAAATATTATATTTAATAAAATCTTCTCTAGCACAGAAGGCATTTAAATAAAATGTATACACAGTTTGGATATTAAACCTTTACGTATGTATGCATGAATATATTCATATAAATTTATATATTGATATGATATTAAATGACTTTAATACTTACTTTAATAAAATAACTCTAAAAAGGAATACTAAATGCAATAGGCTTTGAGATAACAAGGAAAATCTGTCATCTTTTGGTCATCTTTTTTTGGTATGGCTCCTGTTCAGTTATAGATCCTGCATCTCATCAGTCTATCTTTTTTCTGTAGAAACTAACCAAATTATCATTTCTGTTCTCTCATCTGTCAAATACTCCCTGCAACTGCTTTCCATGCTAATACTCAGAACAGTACTACTGACTCATGACAATCCAATAATACTCATTTTTTGTTAAGAAGTAGGAATTAGGAGGTGTAGGAGGCATGCTACAGGTCACACAATTCAGAGGCCCGCTTGGCATAACAAGGCCAGAAGCTGAGAACTGTAATTTCTTCAGCTGATTAATGGAGGGATCTGAAAGAGGCTTTCCTTTGGATTTTTAAATTAAACCTTACTGTGAACCTCTTAGGAATGCATGTAAGGGTGAGTGGGATGCACTCCTAGCCCCTAAGAAATGCTTCAGCCACTTCCCTCTAACCTGGATAAATTGAATGATCTTGTCCTTCACCAAATCCAGTTTCCCCTTCATTGAGTACGATGTATCAATGAGAATGTAGATGCAATCAGCGCATACTTTTCCAAAGAGAACTTCACTTTTATTCTGTAGCCATTTAATCCTAGACAGAAAACGGGTTGGAAAATGGTGAGCAACTGTGCTAATGAGCTCATATTGGTCAGAACTCAATGGAACAGCTATGAAAGCCAAAACTGCTATATTGTCAGCACACAGTGCTATGTAACCCATCTGGATTTTCACTGAATTTTCAATGGGAAAGTCCTACATACATATTGGCTCTCTTCCTCACCACCCTCTTCCACTATCCATCATCAAGCCAAGTCAAAAAGAACCAGTAAGTTCAATAGTCCAGAAATATCTCTCCAATAGAGGGTTCCAAAGCCAAAAGTAAATCACTTACAGTCAGTCATATAATGTATTAAGGACCTCAGCTGTGACTTCAGTTAATTTATCCATCTGACCCTGATTACTGAAGGCCATTAAGTAATGCCAGAACATTCCTGAAACTTCAATGAAGTTTTAGATAGTATCAAGTCCAGATTCCTTTAATAACCAAGCACCAGGTGACTGTATGATTAGGTTTACTTCTGTAATTTATGCTCAGGATATAAATTAAGTTCAAGGCTGCATGTAAAACTAAGGTGTGAGATCAGGGAGAAGATGGTAATATGTCTATATATATACATATATATATATATATATATATATATATATATGAGTTCGAAGTTCAACAAGGCCTAGGCAACTCGAATTTACAGGAAAATACAGAAGAGGGAGTTGCTGCATTCCTGAACAGAAGAGAGAGGGTGAGAAGGAACAGAGGGAATAGGAGCAATGCATTCCGAAGAACATGCGCCCTGAAGATTTGACCAAGTAATTATCAGGGCACACATGAGAGGAAACTCTGAAGCCATAGAAAAATTGCCAAAAAGGATTAGATAGATAAACCCTTCAGTTTACACAGCTCTCTGAGCAGTTTGTTTTCCAAATAGATAGGAAAAATGGTCAATATATAAAGCATTAGGAAGAGTGCTTACAGGGACACAGCCTTAGTAACAGGATCACATTAGCCCTAAACTTGGGTTTTTCCACAACTGTGCAAACATAACTTAGAAGAAAGTTTCAAGGGGCTGGGAGAGAGCGATAGCTCAGCAGACTACAGAGATTCTTTCTATTCAGGAGACCCGATTCAATTCCTGGGACTACATATAGATATGGTCTCCTAAGCACTACCAGAAGTGACCCTTAAGTACCAATCCTTGAATAGCCCCTGAGAAATACTGGGTATGACCCCCAAATACAAAAATAAAAAAGAAACTCTAAAAGCATCAAAGTGATTCCAAGTCATTTACTTACATTACAACACACACACACACACACACACACACACACACACACACCCAGCACTCAACAATGTAACATTCAGAATACATTCAGAATGATTGACATCCAATAAGTATTTTCAGACACATAAGCAGGAAAATATGATCTATAACCATAAAAAATGTCAACAGAATCACACATAAATGATAGATGGTAAGAGTTGGGACTGGAGTGATAGTACAGCAGGTAGGGCATGTGCCTTGCACGTGGCCAACCCAGGTTCAATCTCCAGTATCCCATATGGTCTCCTGGGCACCACCAGAGTAATGCCTGAGTGAAAAGCCAAAGCCAGAAGTGACCCCCATGCATCACCAGGTGTGACCCAAAAAGAAAAAAAGAGATAACAGAAGAGGATGTCAAATCACAATTGTAAATATAATCCACATGTTAAAAAGGAGTGAGATATAGACAATATGAGACCAGAAATAAAATCTACCAAAAAAGCCCAAATGGAATATCCAGAACCATATATTCACTTAAATAAAAATAAATTCACGCACAAAAAAATAAAATAAATTTACAGCATGGTAGTAAGAGTAAATTAGATGCTAGAAAGAAGAAATACTCACTTTTTAAAAAGACAAAACAATAGGAGAGAATTCAATATGAAACACAAAGAGGTTAAAAATAAACAAAAACTGAGGTCCACAGCCCAACAGCAATGAGTCTACTGTGGAATTGGAATCTGATAATGAAGGAAATAGGGAAAGAGAAAAAAAAATATTGAAGAAATTTTTGACAAATATTTCCAATTTTTTGTGGGGGCCACAACTGGTGATGCTCAGGGGATCCTGGCACTGCACTAGGAAATTATTCCTGGCAGTGCTCAGGGGACCATATGGAATGATGGGAATTGAGCCCAGGTCAGCTGCATACAAGGCCAGAAGACTACCCACTATATTTTCACTTTGACCCCATCCAACTTTGCTGAAATTTCTACATAAACTAGAGACTGAAAAAACCCAAATGAAAAAAAGTAATGAGAAAAAAACACATCAAGACACATAATACGATCACTTAAATCCAACAATAGAGAACAATCTGAAAAGTCCAAAGACAACATAAAAATGAAAGGAAACTTTTCATTAAAACTCATGCAAATTGCCTGTTTATTGCAGCACTCTTTACAATAGCCAGAATCTGGAAAAAACCTGAGTGCCCGAGAACAGATGACTGGTTAAAGAAATTTTGGTACATTTACACAATGGAGTACTATGTAGCTGTTAGAAAAGATGAAGTCACGAAATTTACATACACATGATACTACATGGAAAGTATCATGTTAAGTGAAATGACTCAGAAAGAAAGGGATAGACATGGAAAGATTGCATTCATCTGGGGAACATAAAGTAACAAAACAGGAGACTAACACCCAAGAATGGCCGAGATTAGTACCAGGAATTTTATTCCATGGCTTGGAGGCCAACCACACATGCTAGGGGAAAAGGGAGCTCAGATAGAGAAGGGAACACCAAATAAAGGTGTTGGGAGGATACTCCCAGGATGGGAGAAGTATGCTGAAAGTAGACTATAGACTAAACATGATTGTCACCCATTGCCTCTTTTGCAAACCACAATACCCAATAAGAGAGAGAGAACAAAAGGGAATGCCCTGCCACAGAGGCAAGGTGGGATGGGGGGGGATGGGAGGTGGGAGGGATACTGGAATCCGTGGTGGTGGGAAATGGGCACCGGTGGAGGGATGGATATTTAATCATTGTAAAATTGAAATCCAAGCACAAAAATGTGTAAGTCTGCAACTGTACCTCATGATGTCTCACTATTAAAAAAATTTTTAATAAAAAAAATTTAAAAAACAAACGAAAAAAAACTCATGCAAGCCTCCCTGCCCAAAATGGAGAAAGATTTTCAACGTACTGAGAGATGAAACTATAAACCTAGGCTTCAAAGACAGCTAAAACATCTTCCAAAAGTAAAAGTAATTTGGGCTTGAGAAATAGTAGAGTGGGCAGGGGGCTTGCTTTGCATGAGAACAACCAAAGGCTCAGTCTCTGGCACCCCTTATAGTCCCTGAGCACAGCCAGGAGTGATCCCTAAGCACAGAGTCAGGAGTAGGCCATAAGTATTGTGGAGTGTGGCGCAAACTCCCACCTCCAAAGCAGTAAAAATAGTGTTTTAGACTAAAAGAGCTGAGATAACCACTAATCAACAGACCTGAACTAGGATTTATTAAAAAGAAAAATATCACTTGTATCACTTGTCATCCCATTGCTCACTGATCTGCTCAAGCGGGCACCAGTAACATCTCCATTCATCCCTGTTATGAGCTAGTGTAGCCCAATGGCATCTGCTCACTCCAGGAACACAAAGAGAAAAATTACCAAATTAATTTTAAATGTTTATATATTTTTTAATATTTTGTTTTTGAGCCATATCTGGCAATGCTCAGTGATTACTCCTGGTTCTGCACTCAGGAATCACTCCTGGCAGTACTCAGGAGACAAAATGGGACTTGGGGAGATCGAACCTGGTTCAGCTGCCTGCAAGGCAAGTGCCTAACCCACTGTACTATTTTACTCTGGTCCTGACTTATTTGGATAAATCGTATTATATTTTAAATGTGTTTTAATGTATGAAGAGTTTATAGTGGACATGAAAATAAAGTGTAGTGCGTCAAAGGTGAAAAGGGAAATGAAAGTTGTAAGAGTCTTCTCCCTCTTGACAAGGGTCACACCCGATAGAGCTCCTGGGGTTCGCCAATCTGGGCTGTGAGGGCCTGACAGTGGCTCAGGGGCCCCCAGGGCCACGCAAGCAGTGCTGGGGGAGAAGCACGTAGTGCCAGGGATGTACTCAGTGGCTTCCATACGAGGTGAAGAGAGTTTGTACTACAGTAGTGCAGATAAAGTGGCATCATAAAAAGTACTTCAGTGCAAAGAAGTAGAGAAGAGTTTAAAATAAGAAACAAAGATGAAGGGACAAATAGAATACAAATATCAATATCTTAGGTTTAAATCCAAACAATTTAAAAACTCACATTAAACACAGATGATCTTGAGACTAATTTAAGAAACCTATTTAAACATAATGAGACCCATTGTAATTACTGGTTTTGGCATATCGATCAGTTTGAGGCACTTCGTGTTCCTAGAATGAACAGACGCCATTGGGCTACACTAGCACGCAACAAGGACAAATGGAGATGTTACTGGCGCCCGCTCGAGCAAATCGCCGATTAACGGGAAGTCAAGTGATCAAGTGATTTAAATATAAATCTAAGACAGGTAAAGGTAAAAGGGTAGAAAACAGAGAAGACATACAGATAGACAAGAATCAAAAGTAAGGGCCTACTCTCTTATCAAAGATTAGATGTTTATACATTTGGGGTTGTTCCGCTGGTCTGCGGCTCTTTCCAGTACCATGCTGTTTTAATTATTACTGCTTTGTAGTAGAGTTTGAGATTGGGGAGAGTAATGCCTTAAAAAAAAAAAAGTAAGGGTCTAAGCAGGCAGAGTTTGCCTTGCATGCCACTGACATGTTCAATCCCTGGCACCCCTTCTCTGAGCAAAGCACCAGGAGAAAGCCCTGAGCACTGATGGGTGTGGCCCCAAAGCCCAAACAAAGCAACAGTCAAAAGTAAGTAAGGGGGGCTATATTTTATAGGATAAAGTGGATATTAGAACAAGATTAATATTATTAGAGATTTAGAGAAATATTTCATCATAATGAAGCCAATATTATCATGATATAGTAATCCTA